ATTTTTTTCTTACAGCTTCTTTGATAATTGATGATCTCACTCATATAACTTAATATTTTAAATTTAATGATTTTGTCATTTCAATGACTAAACTTTCTTTGGTTCATTAAAATAAAATAATTACTGCTTATAAACAATCAACGTTTTCTAAAAGACACAAGACGTTCGAAAACTTGCCATGGGAGACAAAATCATTCAGGATTTGAAGTGAAGTGAAGTTATCAAGACAAATTCGACATTATAGGGCAAAAACATGAATAAATTCATATTTAGAAGCGTATGAATTGGTGTTTAAATTTTGAAACAATTTTCCATCATTTAAATGTCACTGTGAAATGTGGATCAAATCTATTTATTATGAAATTGAACTTTACAAGACCAAAACAAGGTGTCTGACACAGTCTTGTCTAATGTCAACAGTCAACACAATGTTGCCATACGCCATGAAAGATTAGCAGTTTGTCCCATCATTCTGTGTGGATTCGAGAACTTTGTTGGTATTGCTGAAATCGTGAGAATTTTCTGCGAAAGTTTATGTAATTTTTAATTTTTATTTGGAACATATTCATTACAAAATTTGTCGATACGGATACACGACTAGTGATGTATTGGAGGGAAGAGTCGCCGACTTTTTATTGGTTTTCAAACCACACGCAAGCGAGTTAGAGGAAGTGCAGCTGTCCGGATGTCCGCAGTTTCTGACGAGCTCAGTGTAAGAGTATGAGTAATTGAGTATCAATTGTCACTTCGGTGGAAGGTCTATGGTGGTAAATTTTTCGATACATTTTCTTTTGTTAACATAATAATATATTACCTATACAGAATTCCATACTGACTAGCAGTTAGGCTACGTGATGTAATTCCAACATCTGCTGATGCGCATCGTGCACAACAATAAGTAAACAAGGTTAGACACTTGGACTGCTTTGAAGCAGAGATAATATCCATATAAGCTGAAGTAGGAATTTATTTTGAAATTATTCACAACTGAAACTTGCAAGTTAACATTCAGAAAATGTTATAAAAATTAGGTTTTCAATTTTCAGGACTTTGTTTCATACAACCTCCCAAATTAGGGGAAAGTGCCATAAATAGTTTTATATACATTATCATATTCATAGTTATGATAAGGTATCTATGATTTATAAATAGGGTAAACGCGGTATATTCCGTCACATTAAGGACGCATCGAGTAATGAAAAACTCTAAAAAAATAACTGTATGCGTTACTCAAGTTCTGTTTGCTTTAGGTGACTCTCAAAACACCGTAGTACGCGTCGGCAATGATGAAACGTCACAAAATGTTGCCATATTTATGTAAAAGCCTTTAGAATGCAAACCTGCCAAATCCCTATATTTCGTCACTGTGTGCGGCAATATTTGGCACATGGTGAGGCTTATTCCGTCCGCGCTTCAAATTCTACTGATATGTAATGCCGTCATCTGCGTGTTCGAATTCCGTTCGCTGTGTGAGCTGTATTGGAATACAACACGGCTTTGAATTAGAACACTAATGAATATTGAACACTACTTAATTACGCTTTTAATTAACAACTATTAAGCTTTTAATTAAGCAAATTTTAATTTTTGTACATAGCTTGGAAC